TTAGAATAAATTCTTGGAAATCTTCATCGATCTTGGTGATTTTTTAAACAGTTAGTTTTGCATAATAGAAACCCTGGAGGGTAAGAAATGTAATCAAACAAGTTATCATATGTAGAATGATCACTGGACGATAATGAATTTTTTTTTAAATATGAATGATTTTAAATTTAAAATCTGAATTTTCTATTAATTTTAAAATATAAAACAAAGTTTTAATTTTTTTCACTATTTTTGGAATTTCATAAATCTTTAAATGAAAAAAAAATTGAAATTTAATAAAAATTTCAAATAAAAACTTAGAATTCAACAATTTAAATTGATAATTGAATTTAAAAAAAAATAAAAGCACAGTTTTAAAAACTTTAAATTAAATTTTCAGAACAAAATTACAATTTTAATATTGAAATATTTGAAGAATCAAAATTGAGTTTTTAAAAAGTTCAAACCAAAATGTTTTGAAATATTGAAATAAAAAAAATCGCAAATTTAAATTTAATTTAAAAAAAGTTGAACTTAATTCCAAACTTCGAATAAATTACAGTAATTTGAATTATTTTCTTGACTTTCAAATCAAAAGAATTCAGTTCATTTTGAACTTTTAAAGTTTAAAATCATTCAAGTCTTTATAATGAACTGAATTAAATATCTTTATACACACCGGATCTCCCATAAATTGTACAAACTTTATCACCAAAATCAAAATATTTTGACTTTTTAAAAAATTATGAATTTTTAATCAAAAAAATAAATTTACCACCCAATTTTCATACCGACTTGTCCATATTAATCAATCACTCCAATAATTAAGCATTAAACTCTTTTAATTTCACATTAAAAAGAAATTTTAATTTCCCTCAATGTTTTAATTATCAGAAAATATATGGTTAATGAATATTTATAAGCATGTTTCCCAAATTAATTTATTTCGCTTTTATGCATTTAATTAAGATGTAGTTTTTGGATATGAGTATGTTTCCAGCCTTTTAAAGGAATATAACGAGATCGATAAGTGTGAGGAGTAAAAATTATTTTTTGATGAAAGCCGACAACCTTTCTAGCTGGCTATTATGACACCCAATACCTTGAACCCTAAAATTAATTCTTTCGACCGACTATTTATCAAACATTTAAGATCTTCTCATTATTTCGATCTTCCAGCCAATTAATCAAAAGTTAGAATCTATTTAAATTTTTTTTTGATCCTATAGTTTTTGTGATGTCGAACAATTTATCAAAATTCATTGAACCACACATAAATATTTTACCCCTTGCTATTTTTAAATCATTCATAATTTAGAGATTTTTTAGAAGAGCTTATCCCGCTTGAATGTTTCATTGATGAGATGTGGGGTCATTTGCTGGTGATGTCTAAAATTTTATTACGAATTGCTTGTTCTTTTGAGTTTGACTTTTATCTAAGTTATAAGACATTACTCAGAAAAATACAGGATGATCATGCCAACTGAATTTTGAAGTTTTGTCGAAGAATTCAAATTTTTTAATTTTTACAAACGCAAAAAAAAGATTCATCCTCTAAAAAACCTTGTAGATGGTCAGTCAACTTTTATCTGACAAGAAACATATTTTTCGATTTAAAGCAAAAAGTTTTTTTTCAAAATCCAGAAATTGATATTCAAAAAAATCAAAAAAAAATTTGTCAGCTTTAACAATACTGTCTGCAGATTGAAACTCAAAAAAAATCTTTAAAATAATTTTTAAGAACACCAAATGGTTTTCCTCCTCATTGATAGGTTTAAATAAAGATTCCTAAAATCAGACATAATTTATCATTGGCCCCGTTTAAGAGTTGAATTCTCAGAAATCTCAAAGTAATATTCATTAGAACAAAATTAGTCTGAGGTATGATAAAGATGATTTGTAGCTTAATTGGCGCTCTATTATCAACCATATAATTACGAACACAGCCAAAAAAATTCAAAAATCTTTAAAATTCCTTAAAATTTCACAAAAAAAATCTCATGAGACACGCAGTAAAATCCTCTTGAGAATTCAGCCTCACTGCTCTAATTTATTTCATACTTCACTAATAATCCCATTATCGACAAGATCAACATCAAACTTAATAGCTTGAGTCACTTTTATGAGCACAAAACGACAATAATTCATCAATTAAGTCAAATTAAAATTTTTTTCATGGAATAAAAAAAAACACTCACCAACTTAAAAAACAATTTTATGACACACAGAAAATATCGTCAACAAGTTCACACACAACAAAATAATCCGATGCAGTTAAAATTCCTTAAAAAATATTTATTTCTTTCTCGTCAACGTCTGAGGCACTTTACAACCAAAAATAACTTTTTTTTCAGTATATTTGTTATTTATTATTTTTCTACATCCAACACAAATGATATGTGCACTAAAGTATGTTCTCGTGTTACAATTTATTATTATTTTTTTTAAGTTTGAAAAATTCCTCGTTTACGTCTAATTATAAGAACACACACAGCAGTGAATCTTCACTAAATTCTTAACGATCTTCTAATTATTATTGTTGTTGCTTATGCGGCACAATATGTTTTGAGGCACAGAATTCATCAAAAAAAAATTTGTATCCAATCCTCCTATTTTTTTTTTGTTATTCTTCAATTCACTTTTCTTCTTCTATTCTTTTATAGATTATCATAATTTATATTCCATTCCATTCACAAGATCACTTCACTATTTATTTATTTTTTTATTAACTTTCTTCCCTTTTTTTCTAGTCAAACTAAAATATTTTCAACTCATTCAGTATTTTTTTTTCAATTCAGAAAAGTGCTTACACAATTAAATGTAAATGAATCTCTTTAAAGCAGCAGAAGAAAGAATTTTTTTTCTCCTCTTCTTTCACTTCTTTTTTGACTCTTCACAAAAATTACTTTTTTTTTCTTTAAAAGAAAAATAAAAATGCACGACAAAAAAAATTAAAAACACGTCTGCACACAACGAACGACCGAGAGAAACATAATGTGTAAACTATTCAAAAAATGATCTTTTGCTGCATGCGGCATAAATTTTTTTATTATTTTTTTCCCCCTTCCATGTAAAAATTTCTTGTTGTTGTTAAAGAAAATCTGCTTTACCGAATGTTTTTCAGCATTAAGTGTTGAATGTTTTATGTTGGATGTTGAATCAGGTGATTCTAAGAATGTTTTTATGCAGAATGTTTTTTAATTCGGTGCAGCATTCAACATTTTTTTCCGCTATGCTTTGCTGTCGTTTTTCGTACAAACAACAGCATTTTTATTTATTTATTTATTTTTTCTTCTTTCGAATCTTTTTGATTGTTTCATTTCCTAATGCAGTTCAATGAGTCATTTGATAAATTAATTTTTTTCAACTCGATTGGATCTGTCTGTAGTAAATCTCCTTAGAGGCAGACAAAGGAGGTGATTTTTTTTCGATGGTTTTTATTTTTTTTTGTGTTTGTTTAAAAACAGGATTTTGATTTAATTTTGTGTAGATTATTTGATAGAGAATTTATGAATTTTTGGGAGTTTGGAGATTCAATTTTTGTATAGCTATCTTTATAAAAAAATATAAAATTTTTGAAGATGGTCTTTTTTTGCCAATTGACCTTCAAATCTGCGATATTTCGCATTTCATACCAATGACCTGGAGATCGCAAACACAAAAATTTAAAGATTCTAAAAACTAATTGATTGCAATGCACTTTGACTCACAGAAAGACTCATCGACTGAAAAGTCATCGACATGAATCTTTCAAATGGATTTCATTTAATGTTATTAAAAGAATTGTTTAGGCGACTTAATGGATTTGTCTAGGCGACTTCTCCTTAGTGTCACTCTTACTTGTTGTTGGATAATTCACTGAATAATTACAATTTTCGAAATAAAAACCTAAAGCCTTATGTGTGGCTAAAGTTACCCGGCGTGCTTTCACCAAATGATTTAAAACCTTTATCATAATTTCGTAATAATATCATGATAAATTGTGATCCAAAGCTGCGCTAATGAAGATAAATACTAAGATCAGGCTAAATCTCATCCAGTGGATATATAATGCTATACTTGATAGCTACTTACAAGCAACACATAGTTTAAAATTCAGATTTTTCAGTCGTCTTTGATTATTGGCCAATTAAAATTCATTTGAATATTTTAACATAGCTAGAGGACATAAACTTATTATTTAATGCAAAAAAAAACTGAGTTTCCAGACCTCATTGCCCTCATATCTTCTTTATCTCAAGTTTTTAGACTCATTCTTAGAAAACTCAATTAGATTCTTTTGAATTCTCAATTTTAATTAAAATTGGATCAAATCAGCTAAGAAATATTATTCAAACAGATCAAAACTTTACCAAAAAGCCTCCAAAAAGTTCCATACCCAAAAAGAGTCAAAATCAAATTAACACTAGTCTTAAATAATGAATTGTCTGAAGAAATTCCTCAGATTTTGACGTAAACAATTTTGATTTTACATAAAAGACTGTAAAGACTATCATTAGAGTGCATGATTCAAGCCTAAATACGATGTGATAAATGACGAAATATCATGTAATTGTTTTACTTGTTCATGCACGTTTATTAGTTCAAGTAACAGAGCTTTTAAAAAATTGTGATGTACCATAAAAGGTCTTTTGTGTGTAATTTCGTCGGAATAAAAAAGTAAAATGAGATTATAGCTTCGAAGTTCGAACCTCTTTAACCTAAACAATTAAAAGCCTCGCTCTCTCACACTTTTTTAACTCATTCATGAATTATTATGCAAATGACCCAGTAAAAATTGAGATTACTTATTGTTATTATTATTTATCCCTCAAAATAAAAAAATTATAATAATGCACATCGAACGAGTGCTAGCTTCAATAATATTTTTAAAAGCTTATTCATGTTTAACACACAACCATAAGTGTAGTCTTAAGTTTATGCGCCTATTAATGAAAATATCAATTGATGATTAATAGTCGAAGTTCAAACATTACTCGTGACTTAACAATATCTTTATAGTAAGTGAAATGAATACTCACTGCATCACCTTCCATAAACTTTTGTTTGATCTTTGCGATAATAACTGCAGCTGGCGATAAAAATATTTCCTCAAATGATGCGAGATCACCGTGAAATGTGCAAACAAGAATATCGCGTGCTTGTCGTATCAGAACATCTCTTGTGTGTTCCATATACAGCGGATACAGCTGACCCAAATATTTGTCAATGAGACTTGATACGCTGCATGAATCCTACAAATAAATTAAATATAAGAATGAATATAAGTTTTTTTTTGAAATTAAGAGAAAAAGATGAGATTTATGATGAACAATAGAGTGTGAATGGGAGATTCAAAAGTGAAGTCAGGGAGGCATTTAGGGTCATAGAATCCACTCGACATGGAACATGGATTTAAAGTTAAATAAAATATTAATTCCAGCCCCCCCCCCCCTCCCCCCTTTATAAAATGTTAAACAAAAAATATTCAAAATTTTCAGGCTATGTCCCTGAGAAGATCTCTTTATTGCTGTCAAAATTTAAATAAATCACTCGATGTACACACACGTACATTCTTTAATAACATGACAGTTGAAGTTTATAAGCACTTCTTTGCGAAATATATCCAAAATTATAACACGAACAATAAAGTAAAATTAAGAAATCAACAAAGATTAATTGGAGAGACTTCGAAAGGCAAAAGCCAGAGAGAAAAAAAAATCATTGCCGGCTTAACAGCATTAAAATAATATTTTCTAGATCACAAAGTTCACGATTTTCGATTGTATCGTTTACGAAAGGAAAATGTGCTTTATTTTTGTGTGCAGAAATTCTTTAATGAAAAATAATATTTAAAGTACACAAGGAGATATTGTGGCAATAATTTTAATATTACATAACAATGCTCTTGCACTGCTCATAAACCTCATCGAAGTGGCATAATTCACTTTTACTCGATCTTCCGATTATTATTCTCATTTCACTTTACAAATTTCGCTATCTGTTACACTACGTACGTGTATATGCACAACATGTGCGGTTTTTAAATTGCATAGACCCATTTCTTTTACATTCCCTACATACTTTATATTGAATCGTTATGTTCGTATGACCGAATGACTTATAAGTGCACTGTTTATAGGTCTCTTATTGCTGCTTCTATCAATAATGTGAGGAATGGAATGAAATAAGTAAAATTAAAAGCATTTGACAGTTAACAATATAATGCTATGCGGAGAATTTCATGTCGTGGGATTTATGGTGAAATTTGTTTTATGTCCACATTTTTCTTACTGTTAGATAGATGTGATTTAGAGTCATTTGAACAGGTATTTTATGGAAAAATTAGAGAATGATAGTTTTCAATCGATTGAGGTAACTTCATTATGTTTAGATCGAGAAGATCCAAGGTTTCGATAATGAGACTGTCTTGTTATGCAATGCAAATAACTGACTTGGTAAACCAGCACCTGTTCCCTATCCTACACTCTCCCCGTTTTCACTTGTCACAACTTGAGCATAAGTGTTTGAGCTGTCACCAGCCTATTACAAAATTTCAGTAAACGATACCCAGAAAAATATTTTCCAGAAGCATTTTACAGCAATTTTACTCTAATTTAGACCAAAAAAATGGCAGTGATCCCGCCAAAACGGGTGAGGAATCAACAAGCCTCAGGACTTAAATTCAACTCTTATCCTGCAAGCTAATCCTTATTCTGACGTTTCTACTACTCTGCAGACTTCGAAATATGGCAGTAAGTCATGGGAAAAGCCAGACAAAAGAGTTCTAAGGTGGTCCAATAGATTGGTACGGAACCCTTCGCAAAAAATTAAAATATATAAAGAAAAAAACCGGTGCCCCTCAAGTAGTTTAAATTCGTACCTCCTCAATTGAATACTTTATGAATAAATTTATACTACGAACTACATCCCTAGTGCATAAAGCTCTTAAGAGTCTCTATACGAAGATGACAGTTGCACTAATTAGGTACCAAGTTAAAAGTACTAAAGCAAACAGTTATAGAGCCATTTTAACTAATTTTTAATTTTTCATTATATCGTATTAAATAGGTGCTGCTTAGAAGGCTTCCTAATAGGCGTATTTGTTTAAAGAAGATTGAAAAAAAAAACAATTAAACCTCAACAAAAATATTATGGTGATTTATGGTTGCCCCACGTTCAATTTGCAAAAATAAGCATGTATCTTAAAATTGTTACTTCCTGTTCACCATAATTTTTAAGAAAAAAAAATATTTAAAAAAACCTTTTTGAGGTGCAATCGCAATAAAATATCCTAATTAACCCGCACAAACATAAATTTCTTTCAAGTGACCACAAAAAGAGCTAATAAATCAAAATAATAATTTTTATGGGACATAGACTTGATGCATTTTAAATTTTTCAATTTCTCCTTTCATCGAAAAATAAGTAAATTTATGTAAAAAATAAAAATAAATCTATAAAAAATCATTCAATATCCATATGTGCTGTTGAGCGTGCCAATAACTATTCATTTTACACATTACATGTAATAGAGTAATATAAGCAGCATAATGCAGAAATTGATACTATTAAACCATAATTGCCTAGCATAAAGAGATCTTTTTACTATTTTCCTTCATTCCATCACACGTATATTAACTTAAAAAACTCTCTGCATTTCTTAAATATAATAAAATTATCTGCCGACAAAAAATCTCTAATTTCACTGCATGCCTGTAACCTATAACTAACTGAAACTGTGCTGAGTGACTGTTAAGCATTATGCATAAAATTCATTTCTCCTCTCCCCAAAAAATAAAAATAAAATCTCGTGTGATTGGTGCAATAGAAGAGAAAAAAACACAAAACTTACCTTATTGACCTGAGATTCCACCAGAGGCACAGTTTCAGTCATGCTCATGCATTTAATTTCATTATCGATCGCTTCCTGCTCGTCGACTGCTTGATTTGTTTTTATACCTTTTAGCAATTGCATATTATTGGGATTTTGTGAATCACAATTAGAGTCGTCAGTTTCTGTAAGGTACCATGAAGTGGTTGAGGCAGATGATTGCTGGATGTCTTCATGTACCGTTATATTACACGTCTCTTCATTTTGATGTCCATAAAGTGCATCTTTGCATCGTTTCAAGTAGCTTCGCACCTTCGATTTGCTCTTACGCACTTCACATCGATCCATTGTATTATTAACAATAATTTCTTCGAGTTTAGAATCGTGTAACGTTGTAGATGAAGACGATGATGATGCATCTATCTTACTCGACTCAACTCCTTCAAACGCTCGTGTCGCAGACGTTGAACGTGAAGATGAAATCTAGAAAAATAAAAGAAGAGGAAGAGATGCATAGATAAATAATGACATTCAGTATAATCAAAATAGAAATAAAATAGAAGACGAGATCAATGCAATGCTCTTTTGTGACGCCTACACAACATATATAAACATGTCTTGGCAGGCAGTGCCTCACATTTTAATCAATGTCATGTGTGTAAAATAATTCATTGATTCATAATTTTGAATACAAGCCGATTAGGAAATACAGACGTCGTGTGCTTTAGAAACTGTTTCAATCGAGTTCAGGGGCACAGTCGAACTTCTCCCATTCCTACGGATTTCCTCGTCTTAGGGTTTGGCAGGGGTTTTAAAAAATCTATAACCCTCGAAAATGGAAGAATCGCCTAAACTCCCGCCCAGCCCCTTACCCTCTAAAAACTTCAAACCTACACCCCTGCAGTTACCGTTTCAATCCAATTCACGAAGAAGTCAAAACATACAAAGCACGCAAAAAATGAGTCTTTTCACTCGTTTCATGCCATTGACATTTTCGCACAGAGTTCAAGGTCAAATTTTATTATGAAAATGAAGTTTGTGCGTGTCAGTGTGGATGACAATGAAAAATAATTTTTCTCTCTTTTGAAAAGGTTTGTTGAATTAGGACGGAATGAGCAAAACAAAAAGGAACAGCAATTCCAAAATCATTTGCTTGGCATTTTTCTCATTAATATTATTATTTTGTTAACGTTAACACAAATTTGGATTGCTGCCAAAGTACTCTGCTCGTGCAAAAATTCTCATCAGATATATAAAAATCGAATAAATCTTACAGCCATCAATAGCACAATAGCTGAATAGTAATTTGACGTTTTGATTCGTGTGAAAAGTCGTTAAATTTACGGATATAAGAAGACTAATGATGGCTGGAAAGCAATTTCTCACAAGTTCATTAAAAAGTCTTCAACGTCAAGTTTCCTTCTTGCTACTTCATAACAAGTTCATAAAAAAAGTTCTGACAAGACCTCCCCCTTTGAAGTTAATAATTTCTGTTGCCTTGCAATTCAAACAATTTAAAAAGAAATTTATGGTTAAACATTAAGCATTTCCTTATGTTTTCCTTCTTGTTTGCTATAACTTCAAAGCTCTCAAACTCATCACATAGCAATAATAGGCGCGTTCTATCCACAGACTAAACCGAATTTGTATACAATGCCATAAAAAAGTTTTAAATATCCCATTGCGATTTTTTGTTTCCTTAACTCTCATCCCGGGTAGGACATGTGTGGAGGGGTGAGTTTTGTTGGGTAACATGATTTTTTATTTCTATTTTAGAGGCTCTTCGAGAGAGTCAAGATGTATAGTCAACAAAATAACAAAAAAGGTTAAAAAAGGATAAAATATGTTAACATAGGATTTTCAGACACAACCCCTCACCCACCCCCATATTGCTATTAATTGAGCAGTATTAAATCTCAGATCTATCTCAGAATCGCTCCTAGATGATGGACCAGTGTAGCTTGCTACTGTGAAACCCCATCTCCTTCCCCCTCAAACCCCTATTTTGGAGAAAACAACTTCAATCTGTTAGAGTTTTTCAGAAAAATGGTTGAAATTCAACCCCCTCAAAAAATGTTGGCTACGTCGCTGTGATTCATATGTAAGTCACCCTTTGGTGCAGAATCTGAAGAGGAAGCTTATAAAAAATTTAAATTTTCTTATTGTAATCCTTTGCAAGATAGTACGAGCCTTGATCTGATGAGTCAAACCTTAATAAAGCCTTAATAGCTACAACTTTCCCACAATATCCCCTAACAGACAAAGAGCACGCTCTGAACATGCTTTTTAAAAATCAATTATTTAATTTGATGACGCTAAATTAGCGTACTCTCCCATATAAATGGAGATCGCAGTACGGTACCATAAAAATCACGCTCTCAAGAGTACGCTTTTTTTACTTGCAAGTTTTTCATGCAAGTAAAACTTGAGATCATGATCAAGAACATGTTCAGCTGATCATGCTTTAATTTCACTAATTAAAAAATTTTATGAGCTTGTGATTATGCTATTGATCATGTTTTTCAGAAATTGATATTTTTCTTCTTTTTTGGTGATTGCCGTGATTTGAACCCGAGTCCGCTGTGTTGTGGTATGTCCTAATAACTGTTCATGTTGTCTAATGCCTTCTGAAATTAAATAACTTTCAAATGGCGAAAAGACATATTTAAACTATAGAAAGTCCAAAATAATTTCTTATAATAGTGATTTCTGCTTTCTCTTGTGAAGTATATAGGACCTATACTAGTGATTTCTGCTAGCGCTTGTGAAGTATATAGCAAGGATAATTTGAGCATAATCTCATGAGGATGTCAATGATCATGCTTTTTATATACTCTTTTGATCATGCTCTTGAGAGTATATAAAAGATTATGAAGTAAAAACTTGCATACAAGTTCTTTATAATTAGAAGATGATTGAGTCCGCTATTGAACATGCTCTTTACTGGGATCTTGAGAGGATGTTGAAAAAGCGTATTCTCAACCGTACTCTTGATCAAGAGCATGCTCTTTGTCTGTTAGGGATCAACAATGATATGATTTCAATTCATCAAATAATTTAACCATTCAAAAAATCAACAAAAATACCAAATTCTTTATTCATGTGCCTTTCGGGCATGCTAAATTTAATATGAAATGTTTACATTCCCCGCAAATAATTTTTGTATATTCCTCCTCCATCTTCAACCTCCTCCCTTCTGTGTAAACTTTTGTTTTCATCACAATCACAATTTTTATTTTTGTTAGGTTTTTGTTTTCTGCTCACTTACTTTCTTCCTACGTGCCAAATACATTCTTGTTCTTTCCTTCCCGCTTCAATTCATCTAAATTATTTTACAGCAAGCCCTGATATCTCGTAAATGGGGTTTATATTCTAACACAAAGGTGCTTAAAAATCTATATCAACTGGATGTTGTTTGAGGATATACATATGTACAAAAATAAGTAAATTATATTTGCACACTGTAAACTAATTTATCCTGAGCTCAGTAAGAGGAACGTGACTGCTGTTTATGTGCTTGAGTATAAAACCAAATCAGCGTTTTTGTCAGTCGCTTTTAAGAGTTTATTCCTTTTCATTCACTCACTCGTCTATGTTCGATTAAATGTTAAGCACGTTTTTGTTATGTTAATTATCGTATGTCCTATTTATAGATTCATTTACTGTTACAGTAGTCATGTCACTACTATATCATATCGATATTTCATTTTAATAATTCACTTTAGCGCATTTTCTCTTAGTAATTGAGATAAGTATCGGAATCGGTCTCATTTTGTCTATTCATACTCATTTGTCTATAGACAAGATAAATTATAAATCAAAGTTTGACCTGAATGGAGGTCAATTAGTTATGTTATCTGAATCTATTAGCTGGAATAGCTCATGGGGTATGTTGGGTGACTATCAGATCAATTTGAGCTGTTTTATCGGGAGAATGACTGGAAATTTACACGAACTTTGCACTGTACATTAAAAAAGTTATTTTATAACGTCAGCAAAACCAACAAATTTAAATAAATAACCTCAACGAAGCCAAGCAAAACGCATACAACAAATTTTTAAAAATATTCCAAACCGTAAAGCACCTCAAGAAGCATTTTTCTTCTTCCAAAAAAAATCGATGGTTACCCGAGAGACAGATTTTATCCAAGATAAATGCGAATCTATCTTAAAAAGAATTCCAAGCAGTTGCGTATCAAAATTAATCACTAGGTAAGACAGGAAAATAAATAAAAGCGGTCGGAAGATGGGGGTTAAAAATGTTGTGAGCAATTCAACCTAAAAGAAACTTTTAAGGAGCAATTTGAGCATATAAATATTTACTTAACCCGAGAATAAACTCCCAAAATTCAATAAAAGATTCATGATGAATTTTTTATGACATAAAGTTGAGCAGAAAATTATCCCTAAAAAGTCCATTGAGAATTTATTTTCTTATCTAAAATTATTCTATCGTCACTGTCTTCTTTATGTTTTTTTCATCCTATCAGAACAGTATAAGGGATGCTTGAAAGTTAGGGGTAGTAAAAATGGGATTTTAGAACCCCTCAACTAGAGTATGAAGTAAGTTTTGAGTAAGTATTGAAGAGATATGCACTCTTAACATTACATTTTCACTCTTAATAGTTTGACGTCACTTAAGACCGATCCCCAAAAAACGTGCGTTCAATCTACTGATAATCCACAAGAGAAAATGCGCTATCATCAATCACTTACGGCCTTACTTTTCACTTTTATATACACGTATATAAGACGACAAATAACAATAACTTGTAAATTATTTAAAAATACGATAGAACTTTCTGAAATCCTTGATTTGATTCGTGAACTAGAAAAAAATATATCTTTTTATATCCAACAACAATAACAATGGACAAATCTGATGAATTTCCAGTCACATTAATTGATTTCTATTTTTTGTGGCGCAATTTATGAGCAAGTCACTTTCAATTATTATGTTCTGTTAAACAATGACAATTATTGGACGTACTTAAAATATTCAGTTTTATATCCACAGACTTAACAATTATTTATTTTCAGCACTGTGGTATTAAAATTGACTTCGGAGTCAATTAATGTTTACTATTTAGAATTAGCACGAATTAAGAAGTTTTTGTTTAAGGTCTTAAATTATAAATAACAGCACAAAATCAACCATGATCTAAAATTTATTGCGATTTGTTTTTAATCTTTTTAGCGCCCACATCTCTCACTTCATTTTATGCTCACTTTTTATTCTCCTTTGTTTGACTCTTGTTTTTTCTTTTCAAATGTAAGAAAAATAATATTCAATTTTTTTATTCAATTCTTACAGCGCAAGAATTTAATTTTTTGTTTATTTGAGATGAAAAACTTTTTTTTACATGCACTCTAAATTGCTTGAAGCACCGACAATTTCACACATAAAATATATGATAATAAATATTTTTTTTTGGATGTTTATTTTATAGGTCACTAGGTTTTATATAACTCGGTCATTGTCC